CACACACACACACACACACACACACACACACACACACACACACACACACACACACACACACACACACACACACACACACACACACACACACACACACACACACACACACACACACACACACACACACACACACACACACACACACACACACACACACACAAACACAAACACAAACACAAACACAAACACAAACACAAACACAAACACAAACACAAACACAAACACAAACACAAACACAAACACAAACACAAACACAAACACAAACACAAACACAAACACAAACACAAACACAAACACAAACACAAACACAAACACAAACACAAACACAAACACAAACACAAACACAAACACAAACACAAACACAAACACAAACACAAACACACACACACAACTCGGTCTTCGGCTTGGAGGCCCGTCAAAGTCCACGCGAAAGTCCATGGAGGGCTGGGAGTCAGGACGGGTTGATCTGCAGCGCGTGGGCAAGTCGGACATGCAATCCGCATGGCAGGAGATCCATCTATTTAAGCTGCAGAGTTCAGTGAGGATCTTGAACATACCATTCGGCAATTTTTGAAGCTGATGCCCAAGTGGAAGCGTCAAAACAATGCACCTGTCCAACCAATTCCTTGTGTTGCCAGAGACACCTCCCGAAGTGCTGGTCCTTGTCTTACGTTGACAAGCAAACCCACACACAACCCCGCCTTCGGCTTGGAGGCCCGCCAAAGTCCACGCCACAGTCCATGGAGGATTGGGAGTCAGGACGGGGTTGATTTGCAGCGCCTGGGCAAGTCGGACATGCAATCCGCATGGCAAGAGATCCATCTTACATTTGTTTTTTTTGAAGCTGCAGACTTGAGTGGGGATCTTGAATATACCATTCGGCAATTTTTGGAGCTGATTCCCAAGTGGAAGCGTCAAAAGAATGCACCTGTCCAACCAATTCTTTGTGTTGCCAGAGATGCCTCCAGAAGTGATGGTCCTTGTCTTACGTTGACAAGCAACCACAGACACAACCCCGCCTTTGGCTTGGAGGCCCGCCAAAGTCCACGCCACAGTCCATGGAGGATTGGGAGTCAGGACGGGGTTGATTTGCAGCGCCTGGGCAAGTCGGACATGCAATACGCATGGCAAGAGATCCATCTTACATTTGATTTTTTAGAAGCTGCAGACTTGAGTGAGGATCTTGAACATACCATTCGGCAATTTTTGGAGCTGATTCCCAAGTGGAAGCCTGGAAAGAATGCACCTGTCCAACCAATTCTTTGTGTTGCCAGAGATACCTCCAGAAGTGATGGTCCTTGTCTTACGTTGACAAGCAAACACAGACACAACCCCGCCTTCGGCTTGGAGGCCCGCCAAAGTCCACGCCAAAGTCCATGGAGGGTTGGGAGTCAGGACGGGGTTGATTTGCTGTGCGTTGGCAGTCGGACCCGCAATGCAATCGGAAAGAGATCTATCTTATATTTGCTCTTATTCAAGCTGCAGACTGAAGTGACGATCTTGAACATACTTTTCGGCCATGTGGGGTGCTGATGATTCCTGCTTGTTTTTTTTTTGTACAAAGCTTTACGCTTGCGAATATGTGTTCGACTCATTTGTGATGTTCTTCAACAGATAGTGGAAGCGGCAAGAAAGTACACCAGTCCAACCAATTGTGTGTTGTAAGAGGTACCTCCAGAAGTGTAGGTCCTTGTTTTACGTTGACAAACAAACACAGACACAACCCCGCCTTCGGCTTGGAGGCCTGCCAAAGTCCACGCCAAAGTCCACGCCAAAGTCCACGCCAAAGTCCATGGAGGGTTGGGAGTCAGGACGGGGTTGATTTGCAGCGCGTGGGCAAGTCGGACATGCAATCCGCATGGCAAGAGATCCATCTTACATTTGTTTTTTTTGAAGATGCAAACTTGAGGCCGGGACGAGCTTGAACATTCCTTGGGCTATTTGGGGTGCTGATGATTCCTGCTTGTTGTTGTTTTTACAAAGCGGGTACGCTTGATCAAATGTGTTTGGAACATTTGTGATGTTCTGAAACCGATATTGCGCCCATCTGAAAGAAAAGAAAACACCTGTCCAGCCATCTCTTTGTGTTGTCAGAAGCGCAGATCCTGGTATTATTGTTGACCAACGATCACAGACACACACACACACACTCATACACACACACACACTCATACACACACACACACACAAACTCGGTCTTCGGCTTGGAGGCCCGCCAAAGTCCACACGAAAGTCCATGGAGGATTGGGAGTCAGGACGGGGTTGATTTGCAGCGCCTAGGCAAGTCGAACATGCAATATGCATGGCAAGAGATGCATCTTACATTTGTTTTTATTTAAGCTGCAGAGTTGTGTAAGGGTCTTGAACATGCCATTCGGCAATGTTTGGAGCTGATGCCCAAGTGGAAGCGTCAAAAGAATGACGTGCCCAGCCAATTCTTTGTGTTGTCAGATGTACATCCAGAATTGCAGGTCCTTGTGTTGCGTTGACTAACAAACACAAGCACAACCCCGCCTTCGGCTTGGAGGCCCGCCAAAGTCCACGCCACAGTCCATGGAGGATTGGGAGTCAGGACGGGGTTGATACGCATGGCAAGAGATCCATCTTACATGTGTTTTGATTGAAGCTGCCGAGTTGAGTGAGGATCTTGAACATACCATTTGGCAACTTTCGGTGCTGATGCCCGAGTGAAAGCTGCAGACTTGAGTGATGATCTTGAACATACCTTTCGGTCATTGTTGATGATTCCTGCTTGCAGTTGCTTTTACAAAGCGGTACGCTTGGTAATATGTATTCGACACATTGTGATGTCCCTAAACCGACGTTGCCCTCAAGTGGAACAAAATAATGCACTTGTCCAAACATCTCTTTGTGTTGTCAGAGATACCTCCAGGAGTGCAGATCCTTGTCTTACGTTGGCCAACAATCATAGACACACACACACACAAACTCGGACTTCGGCTTGGAGGCCCGCCAAAGTCCACGCCAAAGTCCATGGAGGGTTGGGAGTCAGGACGGGGTTGATTTGCAGCGCGTGGGCAAGTCGGACATGCAATCCGCATGGCAAGAGATCCATCTTACATTTGTTATTTTTGAAGATGCAGACTTGAGGCCGGGACGAGCTTGAACATTCCTTGGGCTATTTGGGGTGCTGATGATTCCTGCTTGTTGTTGTTTTTACAAAGCGGGTACGCTTGATCAAATGTGTTCGGAACATTTGTGATGTTCTGAAACCGATATTGCGCCCATCTGAAAGAAAAGAAACCACCTGTCCAGCCATCTCTTTGTGTTGTCAGAAGCGCAGATCCTGGTATTATTGTTGACCAACGATCACAGACACACACACACACACTCATACACAAACACACACTCATACACACACACACACACAAACTCGGTCTTCGGCTTGGAGGCCCGCCAAAGTCCACACGAAAGTCCATGGAGGGCTGGGAGTCAGGACGGGGCTGATCTGCAGCGCGTTGCAAGTCGGACATGCAATACGCATGGCAGGAGATCCATCTTACATTTGTTTTTATTGAAGCTGCAGACTTGAGTGACGATCTTGAACATACCATTCGGCAATATTCGGTGCTGATGCCCAAGTGGAACCGGCAAAAGAATGACGTGCCCAGCCAATTCTTTGTGTTGTCAGAGGTACCTCCAGAAGTGCAGGTTCCTGTTTTACGTTGACAGACAAACACAGACACAACCCCGCCTTCGGCTTGGAGGCCCGCCAAAGTCCACGCCAAAGTCCATGGAGGGTTGGGAGTCAGGACGGGGTTGATACGCATGGCAAGAGATCCATCTTACATCTGAATTTATAGAAGCTGCCGAGTTCAGTGACAAATCTTGAACATACCATTCGGCAATTTTCGGTGCTGATGCCCGAGTGAAAGCTGCAGACTTGAGTGATGATCTTGAACATACCTTTCGGTCATTGTTGATGATTCCTGCTTGCAGTTGCTTTTACAAAGCGGTACGCTTGGTAATATGTATTCGACACATTGTGATGTCCCTAAACCGACGTTGCCCTCAAGTGGAACAAAATAATGCACTTGTCCAAACATCTCTTTGTGTTGTCAGAGATACCTCCAGGAGTGCAGATCCTTGTCTTACGTTGGCCAACAATCATAGACACACATTCACAAACTCGGACTTCGGCTTGGAGGCCCGCCAAAGTCCACGCCAAAGTCCATGGAGGGTTGGGAGTCAGGACGGGGTTGATTTGCAGCGCGTTGCAAGTCGGACATGCAATGCAAACAGAAAGAGAGCCACCTTACATGTGTTTCTATTGAAGCTGCAGACTTGAGTGACGATCTTGAGCATACTTTTCGGCCATTTGGGGTGTTGATGATTCCTGCTTGCTTTTTGTGCAAAGCGGTACGCTTGAGAATGTGTTCGACACATTTGTGATATTCTTCAACAGATATTTCACTCAAGTGGAAGCGGCAAAAAAGTGCACCAGTCCAACTAATTTTTGTGTTGTCAGAGGTACCTCCAGAAGTGTAGGTCCTTGTTTTACGTTGACAAACTTCGGCTTGGAGGCCCGCCAAAGTCCACGCCAAAGTCCACGCCAAAGTCTACGCCAAAGTCCACTCCAAAGTCCACGCCAAAGTCCATGGAGGGTTGGCAGTCAGGACGGGGTTGATTTGCAGCGCGTGGGCAAGTCGGACATGCAATACGCATGGCAAGAGATCCATCTTGCATTTGTTTTTTTTGAAGATGCAGACTTGAGGCCGGGACGAGCTTGAACATACCTTCGGCTATTTGGGGTGCTGATGATTCCTGCTTGCTTTTGTTTTCTTCAAAGCGGTACGCTTGACAAAATGTGGTCGGAGCATTTGTGATGTTTGTAAACCGATATTGCGCCCAAGTGGCAGCGGCAAAAGAATGCACCTGTCCAACCAATTCTTTGTGTTGCCAGAGATACCTCCAGAAGTGCTGGTCCTTGTCTTACGTTGACAAGCAAACACAGACACAACCCCGCCTTTGGCTTGGAGGCCCGCCAAAGTCCACGCCAAAGTCCATGGAGGGTTGGGAGTCAGGACGGGGTTGATTTGCAGCGCGTGGGCAAGTCGGACATGCAATACGCATGGCAAGAGATCCATCTTACATTTGTTTTTTATTTAAGCTGCAGAGTTGAGTGAGGATCTTGAACATACCATTCGGCAATTTTTGGAGCTGATGCCCAAGTGGAAGCGTCAAAAGAATGCACCTGTCCAACCAATTCTTTGTGTTGCCAGAGGTACCTCCAGAAGTGATGGTTATTGTTTTACGTTGACTAACAAACACAGGCACAACCCCGCCTTCGGCTTGGAGGCCCGCCAAAGTCAACGCCAATGTCCATGGAGGGTTGGGAGTCAGGACGGGGTTGATTTGCTGTGCGTTGGCAGTCGGACATGCAATGAAATCGGAAAGAGTTTCATCTTAGTTTGTTTTTTTGAAGCTGCAGACTTGAGTGACGATCTTGAACATCTCTTTCGGCCATTTGGGGTGCTGATGATTCCTGCTTGTTGTTGTTCTTTTTACAAAGCGGGTACGCTTGATCAAATGTGTTCGGAACATTTGTGATGTTCTTAAACCGATATTGCGCCCAACTGAAAGAAAAGGAAGCACCTGTCCAACCGTCTCTTTGTGTTGTCAGAGATACCTTCAGAAGCTCAGTTCCTGGTCTTACTGTTGACCAACGATCACAGACAAACACACATACATACACACACACACACAAACTCGGTCTTCGGCTTGGAGGCCCGCCAAAGTCCACACGAAAGTCCATGGAGGGCTGGGAGTCAGGACGGGGTTGATCTGCAGCGCGTTGCAAGTCGGACATGCAATGGACATGCAATACGCATGGCAGGAGATCCATCTTACATTTGTTTTTATTTAAGCTGCAGAGTTGAGTGAGGATCTTGAACATACCATTCGGCAATTTTTGGAGCTGATGCCCAAGTCAAAGCGTCAAAATAATGCACCTGTCCAACCAATTCTTTGTGTTGCCAGAGATACCTCCAGAAGTGCTGGTCCTTGTCTTACGTTCACAAGCAAACACAGACACAACCCCGCCTTCGGCTTGGAGGCCCGCCAAAGTCCACGCCACAGTCCATGGAGGATTGGGAGTCAGGACGGGGTTGATTTGCAGCGCGTGGGCAAGTCGGACATGCAATACGCATGGCAAGAGATCCATCTTACATTTGATTTTTTAGAAGCTGCAGACTTGAGTGAGGATCTTGAACATACCATTCGGCAATTTTGGAGCTGATGCCCAAGTGGAAGCGTCAAAAGAATGCACCTGTCCAACCAATTCTTTGTGTTGCCAGAGATACCTCCAGAAGTGCTGGTCCTTGTCTTACGTTGACAAGCAAACACAGACACAACCCCGCCTTTGGCTTGGAGGCCCGCCAAAGTCCACGCCAAAGTCCATGGAGGGTTGGGAGTCAGGACGGGGTTGATTTGCTGCGCGTTGCAAGTCGGACCTGCAATGCAATCGGACAGAGAGCCACCTTACATGTGTTTTTATTGAAGCTGCAGACTTGAGTGACGATCTTGAGCATACTTGCATACTTTTCGGCCATTTGGGGTGCTGATGATTCCTGCTTGCTTTTTTGTGCAAAGCGGTACGCTTAAGAATGTGTTCGACACATTTGTGATATTCTTCAACAGATATTTCACTCAAGTGGAAGCGGCAAAAAAGTGCACCAGTCCAACCAATTTTTGTGTTGTCAGAGGTACCTCCAGAAGTGTAGGTCCTTGTTTTACGTTGACAAACAAACACAGACACAACCCCGCCTTCGGCTTGGAGGCCTGCCAAAGTCCACGCCAAAGTCCACGCCAAAGTCCACGCCAAAGTCCACGCCAAAGTCCATGGAGGGTTGGGAGTCAGGACGGGGTTGATTTGCAGCGCGTGGGCAAGTCGGACATGCAATACGCATGGCAAGAGATCCATCTTACATTTGTTTTTTTTGAAGATGCAGACTTGAGGCCGGGACGAGCTTGAACATACCTTCGGCTATTTGGGGTGCTGATGATTCCTGCTTGCTTTTGTTTTCTTCAACGCGGTACGCTTGACAACATGTAGTCGGAGCAGTTGTGATGTTTGTAAACCGATATTGCGCCCAAGTGGCAGCGGCAAAAGAATGCACCTGTCCAACCAATTCTTTGTGTTGCCGGAGACACCTCCAGAAGTGCTGGTCCTTGTCTTACGTTAACAGGCAAACGCAGACACAACCCCGCCTTTGGCTTGGAGGCCCGCCAAAGTCCACGCCAAAGTCCATGGAGGGTTGGGAGTCAGGACGGGGTTGATTTGCAGCGCGTGGGCAAGACGGACGTGCAATACGCATGGCAAGAGATCCATCTTACATTTGTTTTTATTTAAGCTGCAGACTTGACTGAGGATCTTGAACATACCATTCGGCAATTTTTGGAGCTGATGCCCAAGTGGAAGCGTCAAAAGAATGTCGTGCCCAGCAAATTATTTGTGGTGCCAGAGGTACCTCCAGAAGTGATGGTCCTTGTTTTACGTTGACTAACAAACACAGGCACAACCCCGCCTTCGGCTTGGAGGCCCGCCAAAGTCAACGCCAATGTCCATGGAGGGTTGGGAGTCAGGACGGGGTTGATTTGCTGTGCGTTGGCAGTCGGACATGCAATGAAATCGGAAAGAGATCCATCTTAGTTTGTTTTTTTGAAGCTGCAGACTTGAGTGACGATCTTGAACATCTCTTTCGGCCATTTGGGGTGCTGATGATTCCTGCTTGTTGTTGTTCTTTTTACAAAGCGGGTACGCTTGATCAAATGTGTTCGGAACATTTGTGATGTTCTTAAACCGATATTGCGCCCAACTGGAAGAAAAGGAAGCACCTGTCCAACCATATCTTTGTGTTGTCAGAGATACCTTCAGAAGCGCAGATCCTGGTCTTATTGTTGACCAACGATCACAGACAAACACACATACATACACACACACAGACACACACACACACAGACACAGACACAGACACAGACACAGACACAGACACAGACACAGACACACACACACACAAACACAAACACAAACACAAACACAAACACAAACACAAACACAAACACAAACACAAACACAAACACAAGCACAAACACAAACACAAACACAAACACAAACACAAACACAAACACAAACACACACACACACACAAACTCGGTCGTCGGCTTGGAGGCCCGCCAAAGTCCACGCGAAAGTCCATGGAGGGCTGGGAGTCAGGACGGGTTGATCTGCAGCGCGTTGCAAGTCGGACATGCAATACGCATGGCAGGAGATCCATCTTACAGTTGTTTTCTTTTAAGCTGCAGAGTTGAGTGAGGATCTTGAACATACCATTCGGCAATTTTTGGAGCTGATGCCCAAGTGGAAGCGTCAAAAGAATGCACCTGTCCAACCAGTTCTTTGTGTTGCCAGAGATACCTCCAGAAGTGCTGGTCCTTGTCTTACGTTGACAAGCAAACACAGACACAACCCCGCCTTTGGCTTGGAGGCCCGCCAAAGTCCTCGCCACAGTCCATGGAGGATTGGGAGTCAGGACGGGGTTGATTTGCAGCGCCTAGGCAAGTCGAACATGCAATACGCATGGCAAGAGATCCATCATACATTTGTTTTTTTAGAAGCTGCAGAGTTGAGTGAGGATCTTGAACATACCATTCGGCAGTTTTTGGAGCTGATGCCCAAGTGGAAGCGTCAAAAGAATGCACCTGTCCAACCAATTCTTTGTGTTGCCAGAGATACCTCCAGAAGTGATGGTCCTTGTCTTACGTTGACAAGCAAACACAGACACAAACCCGGCCTTCGGCTTGGAGGCCCGCCAAAGTCCACGCCACAGTCCATGGAGGATTGGGAGTCAGGACGGGGTTGATTTGCAGCGCCTAGGCAAGTCGGACATGCAATACGCATGGCAAGAGATCCATCTTACATTTGATTTTTTAGAAGCTGCAGACTTGAGTGAGGATCTTGAACATACCATTCGGCAATTTTTGGAGCTGATGCCCAAGTGGAAGCGTCAAAATAATGCACCTGTCCAACCAATTCTTTGTGTTGCCAGAGATACCTCCAGAAGTGATGGTCCTTGTCTTACGTTGACAAGCAAACACAGACACAAACCCGGCCTTCGGCTTGGAGGCCCGCCAAAGTCCACGCCAAAGTCCATGGAGGGTTGGGAGTCAGGACGGGGTTATTTGCAGCGCATGGGCAAGTCGGACACGCAACACGCGTGGCAAGAGGTCCCATTCTCGTTTGTGTGTTCAAGCTTCGGAGGGGCTGATGGTTCGTGCTTGCAAGGTTTGGCAAAGGATTTAGGAAAGCCTTGCATTCAACAGCCAGGGTTACACTTGATCTGCGTGCCACACATTTGACATGTTCTAAAACCGGTTTTGCGCCGAAGTGGGAGCGGCGGAAGGCCCCAGACACTTCTCCACTAGGGCAAAATGGGATGTCCCCACAAAAGCAGATCCGTGATTTTCGATTGACACACACGCACGCACACACGTACACATACATTTCTGGCCTTCAGCTTGGAGGCCCGCCAAAGTCCATGCAGCTGGGCGCAGGACAGGGTATTGGACTTGGAGTTGCCGACTTGAAGTTGCCACAATTGTGGGCCCCAGATTCATTCCTTCAGAACTGCAATGCAAGCCGACTTGAGTGGCTGCAACGCCCTATTTCGCGCAAGCAAAGACTTTCTTGTCACCACCCTTTGTGTTTTGGCCTTGCCCCAGTTTAGCACCACTTTTCATGCCCCCGCCGTTTTTTGGGATGACCGCGTTCCGCTTGCTCTGCCAGCCGCGCTCAGGACCGAAGCTAGGAGGCTGTCCGGCTGTCCCATGGGGCCGAGGATCTGGCTAAAACATGTTTTGCTTAATTAATACCATCCCGAATGTCTACC